CCTCAGGCTCCCAGGTGCTGAGAGTACAGGTTTTATATGAAACCTAAGAAAACTGGGCTGATGATGTCGCTCAGTGGCAGACTGCTTTCCTAGCAGACATCAGACCCTGGGTTCAGTTTCTAGAACTGTATAAACTGGCCTACAAATTCAGCCCTGGAAAGGCCAGCGGGGGATCAAGAAGTCGAGGTCATCCTCAGCCACACAGCGAGTCTGAGGCCAACTTGGGCTGTGATTTTTAGAGACCTTGTTTGAAAGGTGGATTGAGATAGAGGATTAACTGGAGAGACGGCTCAGAGTGAAGATGGCCGCTCTTCAGAGGCTCTGGGTTCAACTAACTGTCAGCACCCATATGGCATCCCACACCTGTCTGTGAGGGGTCCACCACCCTTACACAGACATGAGTGCAGGCAGAACACCAGTGCACATAAAATAGAAATAAACTATTAAAAAGAATTTTAAAAAGACAAGATTAATATTGATTTCATAACTAGTGGGGTATTGTCTTCTGGTGAATTCATTTGTGTAAAACAGGATTTCATGTCCCTGTTACATGTCAGGTTTTGTGCTCACCAACACTGGGTGAGCCCTACCTCCCCACCAGTAATCCCACAAAGAAGTAAGGCTGCCATCCCTCACCTTTCCCTTTGTCTGTCTTTGTTTTTGTTTGTTCGTTTGATTTTGAGACATAATCTCTCTATGTAGTTAGTCCTGGCTCTTGTCGAGCTCACTCTGGAGACCAGGCTGGCCTTGAATTCAGAGAACCTGCCTCTCCTCTGTCTCCAAAGTGCTGGGATTAAAGGCGTGCACCACCACACCAGGCTCTTTTTCTTTTTAAAACAAGTTCTTGAGCTCTCAGTGATCCTCCTGCCTCAACCTCCAAACTGCTGGAGTAACAACTACCTGCCACTACACTTGGTTCAGACAGTCTGAGGAAGGAAACTAAGACTGTGTGAAAGAATAATAGCGCTCCTTGGGGACGTGATTTCAGAGCTGAGTCCCAAGGGAGAGTGAGTATGTCAGAGTTGATAGCAACAGACAAGAGCCTGGAGGAGGCTCAAAGACCAGAGGGGGCACTCGACCGACCGTAGTGAGACGCTGTGTGGAAAAGAATAGGAAGAAATGAGGCCGAGGACTACAAGGCGGGGTCATCTGTGGACTGTGGCCCCCAAGCTTGGGCATACAGTCCTCTCTTTCCTGTTCCCCTGACCTCAGGCTGTAGAAGCAGCCCAGCTGGCTGAGGACCTGAAGGTGCAGCTGGAACATGTGCAGACTCGGCTTCGAGAGATCCAGCCGTGCCTGGCAGAGAGCCGGGCTGCCCGCGAGAAAGAGAGCTTCAATCTCAAGAGGGCTCAGGTATGTGCCTGGGGAGGGCCCGTGGTCACAGTGCGGGAGGCATGCGGGCATGCACTTTCTTAGCCTGGCTTCTGCTGCTCCAGGAGGACATTTCCCGGCTGCGGCGCAAACTGGAGAAACAGAGGAAGGTGGAGGTTTATGCAGATGCTGATGAGATCCTGCAGGAGGAGATCAAGGAGTACAAGGTGGGATGTGGTGACTGCTGGTGGGGCTTGGCTAGTCTCTGGGGCTCAACAATCAGGAGAGCAGAAGGCCCTGATTGTGGAGCCAGACTGGCCAAGCATTGGTTGTATGTATGCCATGTGGCAGGGGAGGGATTGCACCCTGTCCCCAGCAGTTAATTTATAGTAATGCTGCCATCTCAGTGATAAGTAATGTGATGCAGACGTCGGAGACAGGGAAGACTTACCCAAGGGAAGTCTCCAGAGTAGCCCTGTCACCCCAGCTTGAAGAACGGGGATGAGAGAGCTTAGGAGGAGGGAAAGGCCCCAGGAAGAGCCATGTGGTTGGAGGAGAGATGGGTGAGGAGCATCAGCAGAACCTGAAGGCTGTGGGGCAGGCTTGGTAGCCTGTAAGCAGAGAAGAGGTTCTTATTTGTCAGGTTTGGGGAGGTGGAGGGGCGTGTGATGCCGGGGATTACACCTAGGGCCTTCTCCAAGCTGAGAGCATGCTTCTCCACTAAGCTGTATCCTCAGCTCCACCCAAGGTCAGATGTGGGGCTAAGGGCAGCTGTGGTGGGTGGGAGGGTGGGGGCTGTCAGGGGAGTCGTTAGAGCAGTGCGCTCACTGAGTGAGAAATGAACATGTGGCTAAGGGAAGGAGGCACAGACACTGAAGATCGGCTCAGGCGGTACTCAGGAGGTGGGCTGCCAGACTCAGGGAAGGTCACCTGGCCAGAACGAAGGACGAGGGACACCAGGGAGGCTCGGGTTCTGGGTGGCAAAACTAGGTGGACACCCCTCACGAGTGACTGGGGGGTGGTCTCAAGGGCGATGAGAACACCCTGCCTCAGCCCACGTGGGAGGCTGGGAAAGCACTCAACGCCAAAGGCTGGGCTAGAGAGCAGCGCTTTCAAGAAGAGCAGGGCTGTCTTCTCCCCTCGGGATCTCAACATTGCAGTGGCAGGCAGAAGTGACACCCAAGGGTTGGGGGAGAGGTGATGGGAAGTAGATGAGGAAGGAGCGTGACCTGAGCCCTGTGCAGGGCTCCGAGGACTTGGTGAACTTGGGTGGAACAAGGGTGGTCAGATCACCTGGGCCACTGTAGTGAAGAGGTGACGGTCAGTAATGTGAGGGATCCCTTTGTGGCAGTTGGGCCGTCAGGAGGAAGAGGCAGACATGGACAGCTTGAAAAGGCTTTCCAGTGCTCATGGCAGGCAGAGTCCTGAGAGAGTGAGAAACACTGATCTGAGGAAGCTGGGCTAGCTGGCTGGGACCCCACATAGGTCAGACCCACGCCATGCAGGCTGACACAAGGAAGTGACTGACTGGAGCTGAAGGAAGGGCCTCCTAATGGCAGTTGGGAGGTAGGCGTTAGGCTAAGAGAAGGTCCACAGCAGGATCTTGGGGGTCACACCCGGGTAGGTCTAAATGAGTGTGGAGCAGCATGCTTCTCATGACTGCCATGCTCAGCAGCGGCTTAGCAGGCACGGAGAAGAGGCGGACCAGTTGGGGCTTTTGCCCAAAAACGCAAACAAGGAAGAGATGAGGAGTTCAGGCTGGTCCCTGTCCTCAGGAGACCCAGCTGCTCTACTGCTTTGTCGTTTTGTTTATTTTCTCTTTGGGTTTGGTTGGTTGGTTTCGTCTTGTTTTTGAAGCAGGGTCTTACTGTGTGGCCCAGGCTGACCTTGAGACTACAGCAGTACTCCAGGTCCGCCTCCCAAGTCCTGGGGCTGCAGCTGTGAGCCGCCCGTCTTAGCTCCTTTCTGACTGGAAACTTGGTCTCTGAGCCTGACTCCTCATCCATGGCCTGTGGGTTCCCACTTTCAGAAGTTATGGTCAGAATTAGAAGCATCTGCCATTGGGTGGGCCTGGCCTGGAACTCCTGGTGTTAGCTTAGAGTGTGGACACTGTCAGGGTTGCTCTAAACATGGTGTCTGTCTGTCTGTCTGTCTGGTCCAGGCGCGGCTGACCTGCCCCTGCTGTAACACTCGCAAGAAAGACGCCGTGCTCACCAAGTGCTTCCACGTCTTCTGCTTTGAGTGTGTGCGCGGCCGCTACGAGGCGCGCCAGAGGAAGTGCCCCAAGTGCAACGCGGCCTTCGGTGCCCACGACTTCCACCGTGTGTACATCAGCTGAACCCGAAACTCAGGGGACTCGGAAACACCCATAGACCCTAGGGGCTGTGCCCCCAGCTCCCCACTCCCCCAGGGGCAATGCCCCAGCCTCCTTCCCAGACTCCACGAACCCAGCCCCTGTGTACCTAGATGGTTTGGGGCTATCGGTGCATGCGGGAGAGGTGGAATTGACCGAGCTGAGTACCATCTTTTCCTGAATGTCAGGTCTGCAGCCTAGGGCACTCCCCAGGTTCACAACACCCAACTGGAGCCTTAGGAGCTGGCCTAACTCGGTTTCTACTGGGGAGACAGATCCATCCTTACCCCTAAAGGGGAATTCCTCCACCAGGAAAGGGCTTACCACCTGCCTACACGACCTCAGTGATGACCAGGGACCCTTTGCTTGGCACTGGGTCCTGGGCCCAGGGAGCCTTTCTTCACCTACTTGGCTCCAGGCCTGGGCAGGGCTCTCGCCCTCCTGTGGAGTTTCCTGTACCCTGGCGTAGCTTTTGTGTGAAGAAGGTGCAGCCTTGGGTGTCTGCCCATTCAGGGAAGCTCTGCAGATACGGACACTGCCTCCTCCTCGTGCTGATTCAGGGCCATCGCTGTCTTTTAGCCAGCCACTCTTCCCGGGCCCTCTTGACCCTTCTCCGCACCCCTGCTGCTCCCTGAGCACCTGGTCCTCGCCCTGCTTTCACCTTGGTGGTCTGAGCTGTGGAGGTGCGGCTTGCCTGCCAGGAGGGAGGGGACAGTCTAGCACTTCCAGTCATTCCAGGTAGAGAGCTTTACCTGCTGTCCTGTGGCTAGCCTGTGCTCAGATACTCCCCGCAGTACCTGCCTGAACAGACGCAGCAGTGAGGACAGGACCCATGGAGCTGGCAGATGCCCTGCAGATAATAGCTACAGGGTCTTTTGGACTCAGCCTCTACTCTAGAGGTGTTGTGTATGGGCTGCTAATTGTTATGAATAAATACCCAACCCTAGGCTGCAGAGTACCCAGTTCACTTGGTCTAAACACAAGTCTAGGTGCTACACCTGGGTTGGTGTGGATCTGGGGTTGGGAACTGGGCACATTTGAGAACCCACTTCAGTCCACCCCCAATAACTGTGGGCCCCAGTGAACAATGGCGGGCATATCTGCAGAGACCTGTTTCAAGGAGCGACTCAACCCAGCTCACCCTGGAGAAGCCTTTGGTTAAGGGTTGGCCACGCCCTTGGCGGTCATTGGCCATTCAGATAACAGCTTTTGGATTGCATCCTGGGAGATGTAGTCCATTACCTCGCCCTGTGTCCCTGTTGTGCTGGCCAAAGGCAGGCGGATCTTTAATTTTGCCCACCCCTACTCTGCGAGCGCACAAACCACGACACCTCAGTATGGTGGTTTTTCATTGTAATCTGCTCTGGCCACTATCTGGGCCCTTGGAGAACGTTGGCCCAAACATGTGGAGTGTTGTTTCTGGATTCAGGGTGCTGTCCGCTATTCCGGCGGGGCTTTCCTGGAAGTCACCCTGGGACTAGAGCCATGGCCGGTGCTGAGCGGGGCTGGGGTGGGTGTGGAAGCGGCGGTCATAACCATGGTAGTGGCCTCAGGCTTAGGAACAGCAGTGCCTTTTGGGGGCTCTTCGGCCTTTCCTGCCGTCTTGCCTTCGTGGAGACTACAAGCCCTTTCTGCTTTCTGACCCCGCCTGGTTTCAGTGGGGTCGCAGTGGCCGAACCAAGGTGGACTGGAGACAGAAATGTGGGCCACTGTGACCTCGGGCGCGGAGCTGGCAGTGATGGGGACGCTCGCAGAAGCACGGGTCGCCCCAGGAGATGACATTGGGCCACCAAGAAAGCTGCCCCGACTGGAGTGGTTACGGTGGGAGGAACGCAAAGTATGACATCATAAAGACAGCCACCCGAGCTAGTGGGAGTGTCCGAGAGGCTTGTGCGCCAGCTGATCCCCTTCTCTTCCAGCATGATCCGTCCTCCCAAGTCGTGGCCACATGGCTCCTTAGGTAAATGCACACCGTTCCCTTAGAGGCAAGTCCTCACGGGCTGGCTGGGGGCACTCAAACCTCCATGTGAGGTGGATAAAGTAGAGCATACCACTTCCTTATATCAGACTCAAGATCCCCGTGCCTGGAGAAGTATTGCCACCTTAGGACAGGGAAAACAAAAAACCATCGGTCTGTCACATGGGTGCAGGGTCTGTCTTAAATGGCCAATAAGCTTTCTTTGCTAGTCAGAACTCTCCCTTGGCCAACTCTGGGCAAGCTGGAGTTAAAGCTGCCTCAGCATTTGATGGAGACGACTCCCAGAACTCACCTCAGGCTTTGGCTGCTACATTCGCGGGCTTGCCTCATGGTCACCGCCTTCTGATCTCTTCTTTCAACCATAACCGGACTTCCCTTTGCACTTAGCCTTTCTCTGAGGTGTTTATCCAGGGCCCAGGCTACAGCTACTGAAACCCAACTTCTGCAGTTCTTCCCCAAGGTCCAGCCCTGAGAATCGATGTTTAGGCCCCGCCCCTGGCTGCACCCCCATCGATCCCCTATGCTCTGGAGCAGTGGTTCTCAACCTTCTTTATGCTGTGACCCTCACTACAACAGTTCCTCATGTTGTAGTGACCCCAAACATAAAATTATGCTCACTGCTATTTCATAACTGTAACTTTGCTGTTATGAATCGTGATGTAAATATGTTTTTCAATGCAAAAAAGTCATGACCCACATGTTGAGACCTGCTGCTCTAAGTCAATGCCCAACTGTTTGCCTCCTCTATCCCACCCCACTCCTGACGTCTATACAAAGAAGCCCTGTTCCTAAGACCCCTAGACCCTGGAGTTACTCCAAATGCCATCCACTTCACTGTGGCAGGCATGACCTTTAGATCAGTCACTGCTCTGGTTCCCCTCCCATTGGGGTCCCTTGCCCAACTGAAGACTCTTCCAGGACAGAGACTGGTCTATTTCTTCCAGGGACATGAAAAGGCAAGTCCCCTCCCCAGCCCACCTGCCCATTCCAGGAACAGAAAGGGAGAAAGCTTATTCTGGGATGTGGGCTAGAGGTACAATAATATCCAAGAGAAGGCTAGAGAAATGTCTCGGGGGTGAAGAGCCCTTGGCTGCTCTTCCAGAGGACTTGGGTTCAATTCCCAGCACCCACATGGTGGCTAACAGCTGTCTGTAACTCCACTGGCAGGCACTGCATGTACATGGATGCTCAGACACATGCAAATAAAAACCCCATACACATCAAAAATGTTTTTACATTAAAAAGAGAAAGGTCAGGGATAGGCCTTTGTGTCTTCAGCAAGAGTCCATAACAGACGGGCAGAGACAGGCTGTGGCTAGTGTTGGTCACAGGCAGTCCCTTGGGGGCCAGTGACCAGACTCAGTAGGACAGACAGAAGCCAGCCTGGCACAAGGACTTCCTTGGAGTCATCCCACCTGCCTTAGACGAAACCTAGTTCTCAACAGGCCCAACCGTTACAAGGAGAAAATAGTGGCTGGTGTGGCGGTGGCCACCAGGCCACTCTGACTTCCCACATGACTTCCTGTGGGCCCGGGTAAGTGGCTGCACTTCTAGAGCCTCAGCCCCTCCCATGGGGAGAAGCTCTAGGCTATCCTGGGGATGGGACAGAAGCCAGGGCACCAGAGACCTCCCAAAGAGGACAGGTCACAGGAGAGCTGAGCTAGGCCCAGGACTCCAGAGACCCTAGAGAGGTAGCTGGCAGCTCTGAGAGCTAGGTCCTGGGAGCTTTTCCTGTGGTACTGGGAGGCTGCAGTGCTGGGCCCAAAAGAACCAGTACCAGAGCCACCAGGCAGCCATCCAGCTTACCAATGGTTTCTCTATCTCACGAGGCCATGGACTTTTAAAAATTCCATAAACCTGTCAACCTTGCACGAGCAAATACTGGCCAGGGAGCACAGGGCCCTGGGAAAGGGGCAAGCTTGGGACAATGCTGAGTTTCAGGGTCCTCGTGGGCCCTAGTTCCGGGAGAGGACACGTCTTCTGAGCTCACTGTTGGCTGAACACGCAGGAAGGAGAAGACACTCGGGAAATCTGACTCCCTTTATTCTCTTCAACTACTCAACATGACACTGGGGACACATCACCGTTACTGACACACGACACTCAAAAACAGGGCTTCCTCTGTGAGGGCAAAGGATTCTGGGAGCCACTCCCCCGGACTGGGGGGTCACGATGGTTTCAAGTCCTCTCCCCATTCACGGTTCCTTTATGAGCTCTATCTGACCTCCACACTTAACAACAGCTCTAGGTTTCCCCTTGGGGCAAAGCAGCCCCACCCTCTCCAATGCTTGTACCCCTTGCCCGTGGCTGCTGGGGCACTTCTGAGGGCCCTGGCCCAGTGTGGAGTTGGCTCCATTATGCCTTCCAGACTTAACTCTGGGAGACCTTTTCCTGAGCCAGTTACAAGGACTCTGGGTCCTGCAGCAGATCCCCTCTGTGGTGTAGCTAGGTCTGAGGGGGAGGTGACCAGAAGAACAGGTCTCACCATGAGCTCTGTGCTCTGCTCTTTTCCTGCAGGAACCCAGTCCACCACCTATCCACATGGTCCACTTAGAGCTGAAGTCAAGACCATAGCCCTCACTTGTCTCCAGGACATGTGAGCATCCTGCTACATATGCTACATCTTAGTCCTCAACAGTTTACAGCCATGTTACACTGACCGCCTCCCCCAGCAGTGACAGACTTTCAGACCTGGGTCTGAGGGAATCTGCTCCTGGTTTTACAAAGGATGCCTCTCTCTCTAGTTTCTGCTACCACCTTAGAAGGAGACGAATCAGCTTATACTTAGGAGAGTATCTACTCCATTTTATAGGGATACCCCCTTTACCAGCATTTCTGTCAATATACAGACAGGCTCCTCCCTGACTCCATGGTGCTCCCCCTAGCTGGTACTTGGGTCTCTAGGAAGGCTCTCTCTGTAATTGTATAAGATCTGCCTTTTCCCTCTCCCCGGGAGGACCGGCATTTTTCTCCCAGTATTCTCAATTTTGGTCCTTTCAGGCAATCCACTTGGGGACAGGATAGATGAAGAATGATGGGTCTCTACCTTTTAAACTTTTAGGTAATGGAATTAGAGGTCTTTCCCACAGCTTTATGGGGATCCAGGTCACTCTTCTGGGCACAGGACTCCTAAAGATCATATCACTTGGTGTCTTAGTCCTCCTACTCTGGACAGAATGTCACTAATGCCAGCATTGGGCTACCCAAATATGGGGGCGAGTCCTTCCCATCTTTAAGGGTCTTTGTTACAGATGTTTCTTGCCCAAGTTTTTCTTCAACCACTTTATAGGACAACTGTCTCTGCCCCGTCCCAGAGCTCATGTGAGCAGGTTTGGCTGGGTTAATGAAGTGTCTAGCCTGTGGTGTCTGAGGAGGAGATGGGTGTGGTAGGGGAGCCGTTCTCATCCTTCCGTGTCCTCCACTGGATTCTGGCTAAGGAGAGAAACGCCAAAAGAATCAGGTGGAGTCTGTCCCTTCCCAGTGCCAGGATCAAATCTGATCACCCCATCTCAAGGCCATCCAAGTACTGGGGATGAGGAAGGTGGTCAAGTTTCCATTGTCTCTTCAGGGACTCTGGTCCAGTCTGTGCCGTGTCAGGACATCCAGCCTGTGCAGCCTGGCTCATCCTGCAGGCAGCCTTACGTCGAGTTCACACAAAAGCCTGAGGTTTAGATCATGTTGCTGGTGAACCAAAGCTGTCTGTCTATTGTGTTGTCTTGCCATCCCTGGTCACCACAGAGATCCCACAAGTGGCTCTCGTGCACCTGGAGAAGTCCAGGGAGGACAAGCACTGACAAGCCTGGAGTCTCTGAAGGAATTTGTTCTTTGGAAGTTGGCTAGCAGCGAGTGGCTCTCCACTGAGGACAGAATTCGAGGAAACGGGACACCACTGCAGTAAGACTTGTGGCAGTTAGATTTCAGGTAAAACCTGTGAGACCTGAGAATGTGGCAGAGGCCCCTTGAAAGCCCAGAGGCCTCTCAGAGTAGACATCCCCAGCTGGGCTGGGGAGAGGCTGGTCCTGCCTGTCTGAGGAGAACCCTGACGGCCTGAACTGGGATCTGCTTGCACTTGAAGTTTAACAAGCTCCCAGGGGGAGGAGAAACTGGCCAGCTTCCAACTGCAGTTTCTCCACCATGCTTTGCTTCCCTTCAAACAAACATAACTTTCCCCTAATAGCTGAGGTGGTTTCTCAACATTTTCTCAATATTCTTACACTTAACGTTTGTTATGCACCCCAAACTCCAGCCCTTAAAATGGCTTGTCATTTTGGGGGGCTCTTACCCCCCCCAGTCTTCCTTCCCTTAGTACATACGATTCACCAAAATCCCCCAGTGCAATGGAGTCTTGTCCCACCTGAGGGTCTGGAAGCCCCTAGTCATTTCCTCCCCATTTCTCTTCTAGCTCAGCTGAGATCCCACACAACCTCCCTGCTGAGGACCTTCCTCTGGCCAAGGCTGCCGGGAGAGAATAAATACTAGGAAGAGTTCAGGTGTTTCCTCCATCATCCAGGGCACCTCACAAGTCAGTGCTGACTGTATTCCCTATACCTCTCCCACCCGAGGATTCTGATAAGGATTTTGATACACTTTTATGGGTTTGTCTAGAGACGTGTTAGAACCTCTTCCTACAATTAATAGGGCTTTTCCCCACTATGGTTTACAGGATTTCTCTGCTACAGACTTAAAGGGCTTTGTTTCCTACATATTTATAGGGCTTCTAACCCAGCAGTTCTTCTCTACGGCTTGTAAGTGGTTCCCACCCACAATCTCATAGGCTTCTCTTTGCTGATGCAAATGCACTATTTCTTCCCAGGGTTCTTGACCCTCCACTTTTCTATGATCTGATGGGGTCGGCCTTCTTTCCCCACAATTTCTCAGGAGAGAGAGGACCCTGGTCTCCGAACCTACTTCACAGGGAGACACCTGGGTGACAGCTCCTGTGGAGGAGGAGAGCTGCAACTTCTGTGAAGCCGTCTCCACACTCAGGGCACAGATAGGGCTTTTCCTCTGAGAGAGTTTTAGGACTTTCCTCTTCCCTGTGGCTGCTGCTCTTTGGGGGGGTAGAGGCCTCTCCCTCATCTTCCTGGTTTGTGGACAAGGTAGCTGGCTCTGAAGGGGGGTCCTCAGGAGTGGGGGCCCTTTCTTGAGTGTGGGTTTCCTGGTGGCGGGTAAGAGCTAGTCGATGGAGGAAGGAGGCCCCACAATCAGAGCAGCTGTAGGGTCTGGCCCCCAAGGGGCTCCTGAGGTGTTCCAGCAGCACTGACGAGCTCTTCCCCAGCTCCGAGCTCTTCCGGGACTTGCCACCCGCATGGACTTTCTGGTGCTGCAGCAGCTCAGAGCTCAGGCCAAAGCTTTTTTTGCATTCTGGGCATTTAAAGGGCTTTCCACTTAGGAAGGGACTGGGCTCTGCCCCTTCCCCGAGGCCAGTCCTACCCTCGGGAAAGAGAAAGGGCTTCTCATTGCCGTGGGTGAGCTGATGTTGCAGGAGCACGGCCCTGTCTAGGAAGCTTTCTCCACAGTGGGAACAGACATAGCTCTTGGAGGACAGTGGCCCCAGCCTTTGGCTGAGACCCTCCTGACCCTCTGGCACTTTCAAGGACTGTCCTGGGGGGTCCGCTCTGCCCTCTGGAGCACCTGGGTGTGAATTGCCTCCAAAGGGGAACCTGGGGGAGCGGAACTGCAGAGGCTTGGGGGCCGGGTGTGCTATGAGACCGTCTGCATTTTTGTAGGGGTTTTCTCCAATGTGAACCCGCTGGTGCTGCATGAAGATGCCCTCATCATTGAAGCCCTTTCCACAGACCAGACACTTGTGGGGTTTGGCTCCTGGTGGCGGGGTCAGCAGGGCAGGATCCCCAAGCCCTAGCAAGCTGTCACTCTGAGCTCTCCGGGCAGGTGTCTTGCCTCTCTCATGGATCACGCGGTGCTGCTCCAGCTCCTGAGCCTCCAGGAAGGCCTTGCCGCAGTCGGAGCACACGAAGAGGTTCTCGTCCATGTGTGTGCGCACGTGCGTGATGAGGTTCGAGCTCTGGCTGAAGCTCTTGCCGCACTCGGGACACTTGTAGGGCTTCTCGCCCGTGTGCGTGCGGCGGTGTTGGATGAGGTGCGAGCTGCGAATGAAGCTCTTGCCACAGTCCGAGCACTTATAGGGCTTCTCGCCCGTGTGGATCCGCTGATGGCGGATGAGCGTGGAGCTCATGATGAAGCTTTTGCCGCAGTCCGCGCAGATGTACGGCCGCTCCCCGCGGTGGATGCGCTGGTGGTTGATGAGGTTGGAGCTGACGCTGAAGCTCTTGCCGCACTCGGGGCACTTGTAGGGCCGCTCGCCGGTGTGTGTGCGCTGATGGCGCAGCAGCGTGGCACTCAGCGTGAAGGTCTTGCCACAGACGGGGCACTTGAAGGGGTCCTCCCGGAGGTGCGTCCGCTGGTGCTTGATGAGCGTGGAGCTGTGGCCAAAGCTCTTGCCACACTCCAGGCACTCATAGGGCTTCTCCCCCGTGTGCGTGCGCTGGTGCTGCGTCAGCTCGGAGCTCTGGATGAAGCTCTTGCCGCACTCGGTGCAGCGATATGGCTTCTCCCCTGCGTGGATCTTCTGGTGCTTGAGCAGGTTGTGGTTCTGACCAAAGCGCTTGCCACACTCGGGGCACTTGTAGGGCTTTTCGCCTGTGTGTGTGGCCTGGTGCTGGATGAGGTCCGAGCTGCGGTAGAAAGCACGCCGGCACTCACCACACTTGTAGGGCTTCTCGCCAGTGTGGGACCGCTGGTGCTTGATGAGGTTGGTGCTTTGGGTGAAGGCTTTCTCGCACTCCGTGCACTTGTAGGGCTTCTCACCCGTGTGCGTGCGCTGGTGCTGCACCAGATTGGAGCTCCAGCTGAAGCACTTGCCACAGTCGGGGCACTTGTAGGGCTTCTCCCCTGTGTGTGTGCGCTGGTGTTGCACTAGGTGCGAGCTCTGCGTGAAGCTCTTGCCACACTCGGAGCATGTGTTGGGCCGCTCCCCGGTGTGGATGCGCTGGTGGCGGAGCAGTTTGGACCACTGGCTAAAGCTCTTGCCACACTCATTACAGATGTATGGCTTCTCAGCCCCAGAAGGGCGGCCCTGCACCAGCTCCCGCAGGCTGGGTTCACTGGCAGTGACTACGGGGGTGCTGTTCCAGGTGGTCAGGGTTCCCCACTGCCAATTGGTCTCACAGGCCTTGGTCCACTCAGATGGGGAAGGGACTACCTCAGAGGCTGATGGGTCCATAGGGGTCTGGTGGTCTAAGGGGTTGGAAGAACCCAGTGTGGCTGGGGAATCCTGAGGGGCTGAGGCATCCTGGGAAGGGCTCTCCAGGGGCATTTCTGGTGGGTCCTTGGATTCTGGACTCTGAGCTGGATCTCCCAGGATGATCTCCTCCCCAGAACTTTCCTGCTGAGGGCTCTCCTCTTCATTCCCACTTTCAGCACCTACAGACAGAAAGGGAGTCTCCAGCCCTCATCTCCTCTCACAACATGGGATCTGGTCTCTCTTCCCTCCCCTGTGATTGCCCAGAGTCGGGGCCCCTCCCGGAGCCGGGGCCACTAGAGCCACAGTCCCTTGTGCCCCTCACCTGGGTGAGCATTGTTCCGGATCTCTTCAGGACCCTGCAGATCTGGGCCCCACAGCACCGTCTCGGGCTCCATCCCAGAGCTCCTGACTGCGAAGGTTCCAGGGACTCTGTTGGGGAGAGATGGCCACACAATTCCACTTGGGTTTGTGCTTTTCTTTGTGCGGCCGCTGCTGTGACTCTCAGTGGCCTGCTGCCCTCTTTTCTGGCACCACCTCTCCCTGAGCCCCATGCCCCAGAGGCCTGGTTCCAAACACTGTAGATCTTAAGACCTCAATGAAGCAACTCAGTGAATGGAAAGAGTCAATTAAAAACTCGTCAGTCATAATCCTTTGTACCTAGATGGAAGGCTGGAGCGCTATCCAACATTCACAGGGGAGGCAGACTTTCACCCCACACATCCCATGCCCAGAGGCCTGGAAACGTGTTATTTTGCAAATCAGACAAAGCTCATTAAGACTCCAATTTTCTTCCTTTATGGGACTGCTAATTGAGACCAATAAACTCTTCCTTTATGAGCCCCAGAGAGAGCTGAGACTGACAGCTTTTAAAGGGTTAAAAAAAAAGTTTCCCTGAAGGGACAGAGACTCACAAGACTGGAGCACTTTGCCATCATCTAAGCAGAGAAAGGGGGTCAGCCTCGGGGTGGGAAGGTGAGGTCTGAAGTCGGGGATTCTACAGAAGACCTGGGGACTTGGGAAAGCGAAAGGGAGAGGAAAAGGGATGCCTGGCTTGGTGGCATGCTTGGGGGGGATAGAAACAGGAAGACCAGAAGTTCAAGGTCAGTCTCAGCTACATGAGATCTTGTCTCAAACAAAAGGAAGAAGGGGAAGGAAGGAAGGTGGCAGGCTGGTGAGCAAGTATCCACCGGGAGGGCACGGTGACTATCAGGTGTCCCTGCTTCTCTCCCTGCCTTGGGAGACTCGGGGATCATTTGTCCATTTCAGAGATTAGTACAGCAGCACCGGGAGATAACTCCACGGCCCAACCTGGAAAATAACAGCGCTAAGACCACACACGCCGCGCTCTGTGTCTGGCTTGCCCCTGTGCGAAAGCACCCAGTGACCTTGACAGTCACATGAGACGCAAACTTGTGGGCTACTGGCAGGAGAACCAGGAGTAAGGCTCCGAATGAGCCCCGACTGTGAGAATGGGCTGGAGAAATTCCGGGGAGCAGCTGGACCCAGTGACGAGGTCGGAGAAAATGGGTCTCTTGAGCTCCCCAAAGCCATCCATTTCCAGACCCGCCCGGGGAACCATCCTTCTGCCCCGCTCAGTTGGTCGATGCTTTTTTATCACATGCCTAGGACAGGTGGCCAGTAACAACTTCGCTGGATGACTGAATGAACTAGACATGGACACCCCTTGCTCCCGGAAAACCTACTTGGTTCAATGTCTTTAACGATCGGTTGGCAAAGGGAAGCAAGTTCAGAGTGAGCCCCCTGGGGCTCAAAACCAGGGATGCTTCCCAGGAGAGAGAAGAGGACCACAGGAGCACACTGCAGGAGGGCGCTCACATTTACACATGTAACGGATCCCTGGAACGGCCTAGCCTTGGGGTGACAGTGTGGACGGGTACTTTGTGCACCAAAGCTCTCCAGGAGGCAGCTGGTGTGTGAAGCCGCTGAAGCAACAGACAGCTAGCTGACCAGTGCAAAGGAGCGGCCGCAGACTCCGAAGTTAATGGCAGAAATGAGTGTCATCTCCACAGTCTCCCCCGACCTGTGTCTTGAGCGGAGATGGAGACCACTGGAGGCGCCTCCCCGGAGCGGGGAAAGGTACTCTGCTGAGCAGACCGAGGGCCGGTAGGAGCTCAGGTACTTGGACTGAGCGAGAAACTTCAACTCGGGGGCCTACCTTAGAAGGGAAAGGGTTAATGACAAGGCCACAGCCAAGAAGTAGCAAGGGCAGGGAGGCCAGAAGTCC